TACAAACATTATTACATTTTGCATGAAAACACAGTAAAGTCTAAGGCCAAGATAAAGTATAAAACAAAACCAATACAAGACACAACCAGTGCCTTTTCTCCGATTTGTTTGTCTGCTACTGGTCCAGATGCTAAACCAAAGGAAATACACTATCCTGCATCTCTGTTTCCCAGATGGGTTCTCCCAATAAAAACAGCTTAATAGGAAAGAGGAAAATTCCCACTCTGAAGAGCCTAAAGAACAGTGTATTTATTACTTCTAACCAAACTAACACTGAGCACTGATCTATATTTCCACAATCCTTTAGAAACCAACAGGCACAAGATAGATCAGACCACTAGCTGCTATCCTGCCCAATATCTCCATATCTTTGTATCTGCTCCCCTCCTCCCCCTTTTTTTTGCCCCCAAGCTCTGAATTTACATTTTTCAATAATGCACATCACAGCGACCCCACTGCTGGGAAGACAGATTATAGCAGCCATTGCATTGTATTACTCAGTATTTGTTCTGCGTCAGCCAAAGGTGAAGTTTGTAGCCACAATTAAGTGTTCTGCAACCTGAAAGCTTTTATTAGTTGCAGTATTCAGACATTTGAGATGAAACATGAACATTAAAACAGATCTGGGAAGCTGCAAGTTAAAGCTTCTTTCTTAAAACAAAATGCCAACATAATTTAAAACATAAGTTCTGTGCGCTTGTTTTTTGGGGTCTTTTTGGGTGAAAATCTGACACAAATTTATTGCAGGCTCTATCTTTCTATTACAACATATATATAATTGCAAGAAATATAGCTGCCATGAAGCTATATATTTAATCTTATACATGCACACTGACATCAGATGTTTCCAAACACCTTACTTAGAAAGTACCAGAATACAGGATGAGGCTATAACCGCATGAACTCAGAATAACATTTGTTACCATGAATGGCCCTGACTAACTGAAGTAAATTAGGGGGAACTGTCTACTTCATTGCCAGGTTTGGAGTTCCCAGTTTACTCTTCCACCCACCACCTCTGACAGCACCTGCCACAAAACTGAACTGGTAAATAGTTTTTATATTTTGAATGGGCCACTTGACTTCTCTTGTTGTTCAATGCTGTCTGAACATACGTGGAGGAGGTAGAGAAAAGTATGTTCTCTTAAGTACTTACGAACTTTATTTTTCTTGGAACTAGTGGCCGCAAAACAAAACCCTAACCCTACGCAAACTTGGATGCAGTCTAACACCAGTGTGCGTAAGAAACAGGAACACAACAGGGCAATTACAGCAATCTTTCATATTCTTATTCCATTCTTTCTCTGCTTTTCTGAAAGAAAAAAGTCAAGTTTTATGTGCTTTATGCTTCAGTATTAGTGTGTGAAACCATCATAAAGAGGACACAGAAATGCTATCTACATATAATTTAAAGCAGTAAAATGTATTATAGTCCAGCAAAGCAGGCAAACTGTATCTGAGAAAATTAAAAGCATTAATCTAGGGTTTCAAATATGTTTCTCCTCACACAAACATTTTTTCCATTTATTTTACAACTTCCATTTCAGTCAATCAAAGACTTGAGAGGATGGATATATACACAAACTTCTATGCCATCTGGAGGTCAGTCTCCCTTGAAATAGAAAAGATTACACAACTTCTCATACTAACCCTTTTGGTTCTCAGCTTTCAGAAACATTGACCTTTGAGGCTAACATTTTCCATTTTCTTAGCTAGCCTTTTTACTGCAAACTATTCTAACTATCATTTTCCTCACCTCCCAGGAAAAAACCTTTCAAAATTGGTAGGTAGCAGTAACACAAAACACTGCTTGATGCGAGATGATGATAACAGAACTGACTGCACATTAAAAATATTCTGAGCCTGAAGCTGGAAAAGGCTTAGTGGGATTTTCTGCTGTTTAGTGGAACGCTAGCTATATAATAGGATGGCTGAATTAATTGTGCAACTAACTGATTACATGAACTACAATCTATAACTATAGCTACACTGTCACTTTATTCCAAAATAAATATGGGCTCCTGCCAAAACAGCTGCCTCCTCCTCGTCACCAACCCATCCCCTCTCTTGTACCAGCTGAAAATAAGCAACAGTAAAACAAACAAATCTTGTATCCCATTGAAGCTGATCTTTGATCCAGCTCCCAGTGTGACACTAAAACATCAACACAAGCAAAAACAAGCTGGCAAGAATGAACAGCTGAGAGCAACAAGGGAGAGCATGGCAAAATCACTATGTCCTCAATAGTTCAGGCTCAAGGCAGATTGAAGTGATGTGTAGCCATGAAGATATCAGCTACTCTATGTTAAAAACTGATCCAAAAAAGGGGGAACTGATTAATACAAAATACACAGATCCACTCTGTCACAGCATCTTTGCAGGTACAGATTCCTACTAGTTCTAGAGCAAGGAGTTTCAGAAACTCTTGAGTGCTTCAAATAAAAGATAGTTTATTTAACAACTGTATTGAAAAAATGTTTACATTGCCAAAGCCAAACACTCAATCCCTTCTTTTATGTGATATGCATCTCTTGACAGAAGTGAATTAAAAAAAATAATTATGAACCTCACAGGTTGATAAGGCAGAAATAGAGCCCAAGAAATAAGAACTGCTTCTTCATGGCAGGTAGCAGGCCAAAGAACTAACACTAAAACAACAGGTGAAATACAGGCCCTAGGGGAAAAAAACCCAACCCTGCCCTCCAAAAAAACCCCCACCAAAACTCACAGAACAAGGCAACATACTTAATGCTGTGAAACCCACATCTGTTCCATGCATAGGAGCTGAACTACCATTTTTTCAATTTTTGCCCACTTCCTTTGTACTTTGGCATACCAGCTTTGACAAAAGGTTCATTAAGAACTTGTCTACAAGCTGAACTGCTGGGTTTAGATCAGTTTAGCTGACATAAAACAGCTACAGTAAGGAAAATTAATAACTTTGCTACTTCTTTAAATTTAGATGTTAAGTTTATTTATAATTTTAAATCGTGTATCAAATTTCAG